GTTTGTTCCTTGTTCCTTGTTAATTCTATTCATTGTTAGTTGAATAAAAAATGTTGTATTTTGAAAAAAAAAACGTGTCTGTCGTTTGTTTAGTTATAAAAAAGACCCACAGTTTGAATATATGCTCTTTGACTTTCTCTCTATCCCTCCTAATGACATGAGCTATCCTCACGTTTCAATAACTAAAACTCAGTAGGGATGTTTTCTATCCCGTCCGCGCTTGTACCATATAAAGCGAACGGGTCTCCAGTCTGACCATTCACTGTTGACTCGTCATCCTACGAAGATGCCTTCCAGACTAGCTAAACTCAACGAAGCTTACGTTCAATTACATCGTGTCAGGCTAAACCTGATACCGAAGCCTGAAGAGATAGAGAATGTCAGAATGCTCTCTATAGCCCAAGATCTCATTGAGAATGTCTTTAGAGAGGAAATTGAGAAAGAAAAAGAAGAATGGACTGAGAAATACAGAATTCAGAAGAGGCAAAGAGAAGAGCAGCAACAGCAGCAGCAGCAACAACAATATCAACAACAAGAACCAGACAAAGGATTTGTGGACTGTCGAATAGACACCAAAGACTTCACTTTCTCTTTTCGCAGAAGCAGACCTTATCGTGTAGGAAAACCTGCTGCCAGACGGGGTTGCAATCTTAGACAGTAAAATTCAACAAAGATTGCCTTTACTCTTCGTCAAAAAAAAAAAAAAAAAAACAACAACAATCAACCCTTTTCAGGGCTACTGAAGACTCTCGAAAAGATATACTTCTTTCATTTGCCAAAAAAAATTTAAGATTTAAAATTTTAGAAGTGTGACTATAAACACTTCAATTTTTAGGGGGTCAGTAAAACCACAAAACGAAACAAACAAAACCCACCCTTTTCTCTCTGTCTTGTCCAACAACATACAAAAAAAATCTGACTGTGTTGGTAAGTCAAAAAGTTAACGTGAGAACTTCTTTTAAGTCCGCGTGTTTCATATCATAATAAAAAGTTAGGGGATGTTTTCCATAACGTCCGTTCTCCAAGGATATAAACACGAGCATACGTCAGTCTAGCTCCCATTGTGGACTCGTCAACATTTTCTTTTGAGTAGTAGTAGACTACAAAAACTTTCGGAACTCCAAATGCATCTGAAACATGCCAGACGTCTCCTGGACGAACTGATTATGAAGAAGTGAAACTTAAGGAAGAGGAGGATACAAAAAAGAAAGAAGAGGAGATAGAGAACCAGCGAGGATCCTGTTACACCCTATGATAAAACTTGTGTGTGTGAGGTGCTACCTGAGGTGAGGACACCTCCAGCAGCAGCAGCAGCAGTTGCACCGCAGAGACCAAGACCTCAGGAAATGAGACCAGTTATTCAATCCCGACTCTGACCCCGAAGACAAGAGGTTCAGCAGGTCTTCACTATTCCACAAACGGAGGAGTGGGATAGTGAAGCCACTCAAGCTCCGTTTGCTCTGCAGGTCAGAGCAATAAATTGGGAGAATGACTGGAGCCGACGATGTGTGTGCGGTGCTCGTCCTGGAAGATGTCAGCATTAGCCAGATGTCATTGGAGTTCAATTAAACAGCCCTTTTCAGGGCTAACCAAATCTCTAGAAAAGAAATACTTTTCAATTTACCATTTTGCCAACTTGTCTAAATATTGTGAAGTGTAACTATAAACACTCACTTCAATAAAAATGTGTGTGTGTGTGTGTGTTTACATTCGCGTTCGTTGATGAGATGGTGTAGGGTATAATTTGTGCTGCTCGTTTCGTTGATGAGATGGTATTTTTTGGGTTTTATGCTTCTCTTTCGTTGATGAGATGGTATAGGGTGTGCTTTTTGTGCTTCTCTTTCGTTGATGAAATAGTATATTTTTTTGGTTTTATGCTTCTCTTTCGTTGATGAGATGGTACAGGGTGTGTTTTTTGTGCTTCTCTTTTCGTTGATGAGATGGTCTATTTTGGGTTTTATGCTTCTTCTTTCGTTGATGAGATGGTATAGGGTGTGTTTTGTTCTTCTCTTTCGTTGATGAGATGGTCTGTTTTGGGTTTTATGCTTCTTCTTTCGTTGATGAGATGGTATAGGGTATGTTTTGTGCTTCTTCTTTCGTTGTTGAGATGGTATAGGGTGTGTTTTTATGCTTCTCTTTCGTTGATGAGATGGTCTATTTTGGGTTTTATGCTTCTCTTTCGTTGATGAGATAGTATAGGGTGTGTTTTGTTCTTCTCTTTCATGGATGAGATGGTCTGTTTTGGGTTTTATGCTTCTTCTTTCGTTGATGAGATGGTATAGGGTCTGTTTTTGTGCTTCTCTTTCGTTTTTGAGATGGTATAGGGTGTGTTTTTTGTGCTTCTCTTTTCGTTGATGAGATGGTCTATTTTGGGTTTTATGCTTCTTCTTTCGTTGATGAGATGGTATAGGGTGTGTTTTGTTCTTCTCTTTCGTTGATGAGATGGTCTGTTTTGGGTTTTATGCTTCTTCTTTCGTTGATGAGATGGTATAGGGTATGTTTTGTGCTTCTTCTTTCGTTGTTGAGATGGTATAGGGTGTGTTTTTATGCTTCTCTTTCGTTGATGAGATGGTCTATTTTTTTGGGTTTTATGCTTCTCTTTCGTTGATGAGATAGTATAGGGTGTGTTGTGTTCTCCTCTTTCGTTGATGAGATGGTATATTCTGGGTTTTGTGCTTCTTCTTTCGTTGAGGAGATAGTATTGGGTGTGTTTTTTGTGCTTCTCTTTCGTTGACGAGATGGTCTATTTTGGGTTTTATGCTGCTCCTTTCGTTGATGAGATGGTATAGGGTGTGTTTTGTGCTGCTCATTTCGTTGATGCGATAGTATATGTTGTGTTTTATGCTACTCGTTTCGGTGGTGAGGATAGCATGCATTCGCGATAAAAACCTTTTAGAGGGTCAGTCCACTGTCTCGAAAAGACTTATTCTTTCTTGCCTGAAAAGCTTTTTTAGTTGTTTTATAATTTGTGTTTAACTCACAAAAACATTATTCTCGGTTGCATGTGTCCATTAATGAGACGTTACCTTATCTGTTCCATTCCTATTGTTCCCATACAAACTTCCTGTTAGTGTCCCAGGGTGTTCCATTTAACGCTATAAATCTTGACTCTATAGTACAAAGTAGGGTCATTTAATGCTAATATTAACGCTATAAAATTTGACACTCTATTTAAAAAAGTAGGGTCCCATAATGCTAATTACCATAGATGTAATAGTATCGCTTAGTTTAATTTTTATTTACAATTTTTCAGTTTCCACGATGGTCGGTATGAGTTTAGATAATTTCAGTACTACTTTAAGTCTTGGTAACATTTTAAAAAATTATCTATGGATTATTTTCAGTCTCCGCTAAAGCCAGGTGCAATTTCAGAATTTAGTGTTACACTTCGTCTTTAACTATTTCTAACAACCAATACATCTGACTAGTTACCAGTTTCCATTCAAGTCCGCTATCTTTTCTGAAATTTAGTGGAATATTTTAAGTCAAGGCAATCTGAATACAATCTTCCAGAGTTTTTCTCAGTCTCTACTATGGTTTGGGAGATTTTGGTAATCTTAGTTCTACTTTTAGACTAAGCAAATATAACAGGGTTCCTGCAGACTTAACAAAAATACATTCCATGACTTTTCCAAACCTTTTCCAGGGCCATTTCATAAAACTCAAGGACCGCGCTATCTTGCATTGTCAAGTAAATGAACATAAAAAATAACAAATAAGAAATAAGTTAACAACAAATATATTTAATATGTACTTTTTAAAATTACATGGGCAAGCACACTTTGACTTTATGTAGTAATTCATGTCATAATCGAATGATCAATGTAATTTATATTGAAAAGAAAAAAGGAAACAATTCTTAGTAGTTTTTGTATGTGTTCCTACTTACAATATTAACAAAATACATTACTTTCCAGTTGCTTTCTTTTATTTAGTGAACTACACCTGAAATCATGTGATACTTCCATTAGGAGAACTTACTCTTATTATATGAATTGAAACCATTTATCGATTGTAATTTTATCATTTTATTTAATCGGTTCTCGGTGCTCTATAAAATTTAAAGTAATCAATATCATTAACTCCATTGTCACAAATTCCAGGACTTTTCCAAAACTTTTCATGGTTTTGAGAAATTCCATAACTTTTCAAGACCCTTAAAATTTATTTTTTAAATTCCAAATTTTTTTCCAGGATTCCATGACCTGCAGGAACCCTGATAGAACTTAATCTACTGCGATAAGTTCAGTCTCCGTCATATTCTGGAACAATTTCGTATGTTTAGCGTTACTTTTAGTCACAGTCACTTGAATATTAATGTTCCAGATTTTCTTAATTTCCACTATAGTATTGAACAATGTCGCAATTTTAGTATTAATTTTAGTCTAAACCAATGTAAATTAATGTTCAGGGACATGTTTAGTCTCGGTTAAGTTCTGGGACAATTTCGTCATTTTAGCGATACTTTTAGTCACATCCATTTTGGTGTTAGTCTTTTCCTTGATTAAAACTATTTATAGCATCATTATAAATATGCAAATTTATGAACACCATTAACATATTCCAAGTCTATGTAATGCTTTATATATAACTCTAGGTTTTATAGTAATATATGTCGGTTTCTATGTCTCTATTTTATAGGTCCCTCCCTATAGTTGTAGTGCTAGCTGCGCGTATTTAGGACAACTAGGTCAGCTCCTTGCTACACTGTTATCAAGTGTTCAGTACCGTGATGTCATGCCACCTGGGACCATTTCTCTTGACGCTATACAGTCCCAGAGTGTGCTAATACAAAATTCCCCTTGACGCTATATTACCCCACGCTGTGCCATTTTTCGCCAAAAATCTTGACGCTATATCGTCCCAGGCAATATTTTAATGATAACTCCCATTGACGCCAAATCGTCCCCTATTACTACTCCGAACAGTCCAAACACTAACCTCTTATTGCTGAGCGCCAAGCGAGGCAGCAGCTAGTGACATTTTCATGTCTTTGATATAACTTGGCTAGGGTTCGAACCCGCGACCTTCCGCATCCGAGGCGGACGCTCTAACCATTTAGGTCACTGGAGTGATCCGTTTTTGGAAGAGAATTACGCCTTTGGCATTAAATAGAAATCTACTATATCGACATTAATGTGCTCATAAAATGTATACATGCTGCATTCGTACAATCGGCAGTCAAAATTCGCAGTCCTTCCTAAACTAATTTTAAAAATATATATATATAATAATAGAAGATGACATCATTTATTGAAGATACCAAATACGTACAAAAATGATACTAACAGCTGCCTCGCTTAGCGCTCAAAATTAAGAGGTTATTGTTAGGACTGGTCGGCCTGCTGTCAGGATAATATGACTGGGTGGGACATCATGCTACATGTCTGCGGCATGATCACTATAAACTGCCACACTGCAGACATCATAGCGATATGACATAAAAATTGTTAAAGCTACGTTAAAAATGATAATCACATCACATCACATTTACTGAAAACAATAAAAGAAGTGCAAAGCACATATATACCATAAAATGCGAACTCTGCATTTCAGTGATCCAAATTGAGTTCACTGCCACACAATTAGACAATATCTGGAATTTGTGGTAAAAAGTTTAATTTCTAATTTCAGCAGAAATAGTGTTCCGTAATTTGGACCAGATACAGCCAGAGAGTTGTCGGAATATGATACACGTTTGTAAAAGAACAAAATTTGAGGCTATGATTTAGCGGTTTGGTGAGATGTCATATATTACTGATTTTAAGATACAGGATCATTTATGGCTTTTTTTGTCATAAAAAAATCTTTCGCAATGCACCGCGTCTTTTTTTTCTTTATTTTTCAAAACAACAAACTTGATCTATAAAGCATTTCAAAAGATGGCATGGAGATATGTTTAAGGAATTAAACAGGAAGCTCTTTTTTCTCAGATTGGTAATCTTATGGGTTTGCAGGATGCTACATACATATTCTAGGATTTGTGGACTGTAGTTACAGCACTGTATGCAGTTTGAGAAGGTTCTGAGGATCACAGGTACAAATAATACTTATTATTTATGTAGAGTATGCAGTGGCGAGTTCAGTGTCATCGAGGATACCTTTGAATACAGGATCTGTGGATAGTTTTTGAGGTAGGTCAATTGTCATGCAGGTTGTTTTGTAGATTTAATTGTATTAAGATTAAGGTGCCCACAGTTTTGTAAAGAGAAAAAAAAAGATCACGAAACGTCTCTGCCAGTAAAAGTTTTCTTGAACAAATCTATCTTCTTGTATGTGTAATAAATTCATACAAGTACTGAACTTGTTATAGTGTTCTTCTCTAGAGTTTGTGTAAACATCATCTCACTTCTAATAACGACACTGTTATGTACTGAATATTTTTTTTTGTGGATGTCTGTAAAAGAGTCTAACGCAATTCTGCTAATTTTGTTTCCACTGACATGCAATAAAAGGGATTGGGTTGTCACATTCCTTCAGTTTAATTTAGCATTCTTTGAGGAAATATGGTTTCATCGTGCTCTGATAAACTGCTTCACATTGCAAACTTAATTAGCACAGTGATTGGTAGGTTACGTGTAACACCCAAAATGACCTGTTAGTGTTAACTCACTGCAGAAAAGTTAGTGACGAGTCTGTCGTTATTCAATGAAAATGAACATTTGAACATTATTTTATCAACAATGTTTGTGCGTTAACTGATAAATTACATGTGTTTGCGGGATACTACAGTTACTGAAAATTTTTCTATTTAATGTCTAATTGAATTTTACTTCATCTTTATGTCATTAAATATAATTATTGTTATTGAAATGAAATTATTGTAAAAGGTTGAAACACGCGTTTATAAAAGGACAAGTTCAAACCTAAGCGAGAATTTCTTATTCTAAAATAAAACATGACTACAAGTAATATGGTCACATGACGCCTCAATGTACTGTCTGAGACGCGAATAGCAGGTACACCTCGAAATGATTCAGTGTCGGATCACCCAATAGGCCGAGTTGGCACCGGATTATGGGCCCCACGCCTTTTAGGGGCCCCGCGATAACGAATCAAACTAATATTGAATTGATTTGATCTTGACGTATAAGGAGATAATTTGCGATGGGTGGTGGTGCCCGAGATTTCAACTGCTTAGGGGTCTCCGCATGGTTTAATCCGACACTGAGATGATTTCACGTTCATTTCTAGGATAATTTCTATTTACTGCCGTCATCAATGGGATGAATCATTTTAATGGAATGTAATGTAATCTCCATGAATTAAAGTGGTTCTGATCCGCATTTGTTAGCACACAAGTCATTGTCTTAGCAAGAAATTATGATCCCCTTCCCAATAAAAATAGTTGTTTGATTTGTAGGATGGGAATTTGGGGGAACCACTGGACCACAACCATTACAAATACATAGAGTTGCGGGTGTTTGTTGTTCGGGCGGTTGTTACGCCACTGAGCAAGTCTATTGTTGTGCAATGGAATCGTGAGTGTCCTTCAATACGCTACCGAGTGAACATTACCGCTAGGACTTTCGATCGATCGATCGATCAATCGATATATTCAAGTACCATAATTACACTGGCAAAGTATGACTGACACCTAAGTTAGTGGCTGCATGGTAGCTTTGTTTCTTATACACCTTTCCATGTAGGTATAAGCAAGTTCAGGTGTGCATTGCATTTATAACTTATGTGAGATAAAAATTTAATTGTGGTTGCAATGACCTACTTATTTGCTAAGCTGGCTATGCCAAGTTTATTTTGGGATTATGTTCTTTAGTTCAGAATCTGACATTTAATAACGAGGATTGTTACAATAACGTTACCAAATTCCAATCCAACTTGAACTATTAAATTAGAAAAAAACTAAATCGGTACTTAAAGTTAACTTTCTGAGGGATTTCCTTGCGACTAAAAGTACAGACACATTCATATATATATATATATATATATATATATATATATATATATATATATATATATATATATATATATATATATATATATATATATATATATATATATATATATTTATATATATATATATATATATATATATATATATATACATATATATATACATATATATATATATATATATATATATATATATATATATATATATACATATATATATATATATATATATATATATATATATATATATATATATATATATATATATATATATATATATATATATTTCTGTACAAACTTAGAAATCCAATCAGAATTTAATTTAAGATTCTTATCACAATTAAGGCGGGAAGGGGGATACACACACACACACACACACACACACACACACACACACACACACCTCTTTCGTCTGACGTGACTGGTGGCAGCCATTGAGGAGACGAACCACTTGTTTGGTCAGGAGGACAATGTCACTCCCTGGCTCATGAAATCCTACATGCAGCTAGCTGTGTGTGTGTGTGTGTGTGTGTGTGTGTGTGTGTGTGTGTGTGAACAATAACACATATACTATCGAGAGCGAGAGCGAGAGATTGAGAGTTCACTCCAAAGCTGACAAGCCACTGATAAACGATGTCGTTTTAACAGCAGACAGATTAAATGTAGACCGAAACGTAACATAGAATAAGTGGAGTGCTTCTGATAAAGCAGAAATTCGTCTATTAAAAGGAAGCTTACGCTCTACCTTTCAACATCAGGTAACCAACTGCAATGTCTACTTGGATATGTCAACATTTAATGCGCCTGCAAATCTATATCTACGCCTATCTTTAAAAATCATACATAGAATGAACAACACTGAACCTGATCTAGCGACCCAAATGCAAACGACAGTCGGCAATTAGGTTTGCGTTATACACCAGAAGAAGAAAAAGATCCATTTGTAAAAGACGGTTATGATTTTAAGGATGGGACGTTTTATTTCATACGTTCGCATTTCAAATTGCTTTGAAGCTGAATCTAATATCACAAAATGTAACATCTGATACCGATTTGGTTTTTTTCTCTTTTCTGCCGCAGATGTGTGATTAAAACATGCCTGAAAATAGTGAGACGCATACTGGGCAGGATTGTATTTACTAGTATGCATAGACAAATACGCGGGTTCAATGTAAACAGAATTGTCAAATTACAAAACATTGTTTAAGCACATGCTTTGACGTTTTCTAGGCGACATTTATATCTTCAGCTTGTGATGTTCTTCAAACTTCCTACTCTACCAATGTGCACTTCTTAAACTTTCATATCATTTAATTTCAATTTTAACGTGACCAGTGTGGCTACTTACAATCAAGCTATCCAAAGGTCAAACGAAATAGGACTGTGTTACTGTAGTGACTACGATGTTGAGTATTCATTTATCCCGAGGTTTCTGTCGAGTTACGCGTCTATTTAATTTTATCACACAGTGACAAACACTCGTTAACAGACAGCAACGTCTCATCTTCATGAAACAAGTTAAAAAATCTCTTCGTTACATCTCACTGACACCTTTTAGCAAATGCTACCGAATAAATTATAACAAAGGTCAAATTTTACATACTCTGATGTTCCCCTTATTTCGGCTGCATCCCAAAATCTGGACGTGGACGTAATTCGAATCCTAAAATGAAGCCCTTAAAAATACTATGCTTCGCAGGCGAAACAGCAATGAAAGACGATTCTCTCAAATTTCTCCAATGTTTAATTGGTGGGAAGAAAATGTAGATTATAGGAATTTAACCCAATTTTGGATAAAATTATTTATTTTGGTGATACTGATGTTGGCTCGTATCCTTCCACTCAATGTAAAAAGCAAGGTATGTGGCTGTGTTCATGCGATTATAAAATGCAAATGCAAAACGACAATATACTCCTTTACTTACCTTGAGCGCCAAACGTATCGTGGTTATGTTATTGGCAAGCAAACAGCTCTCTCTAATACACTTTGAAAAGTCCTCGTCTATACATAGTATATAATCCATACAATGGCCAGGATCTTGTACAGTGTACACATTTCTGTTAGATACAATCTATTGACGTGTCACTTGACTTGAAGTCTCGTTTGTAGTGACGACAGTCGTATGCAGCGCATGTGAATAACACGTCCAATCACATCT